CCTGTGTCACATGGTATTGGCACAGTCCTGCCAAATGTGCTGAAGGGGAGCTGAGCTAATCTTGTAGTGGGAGCAACGTGCTCCAGCAACTGGTCCACTTTGTGCCACGTCTTACAAGGATGCTGTGCCGCTCTCAACCCCTGGGTTCTTCCCATGGTGGTGGCAGTGCATTGCCACTTAACGGACCAGTCATCCTGCCAGTTACCTTTGCTGACCATAGGCCCATCTCAGTGAATCTGCTTTCCACGTTCTAAAAACCTTGGACTTTGTCTAGAACACCTGAAGCCTGAGAAAGTTCATGTAACACTTATTCCTTTGGATGCCAGTACACGGGTCACTGCTACAGGGCAGAGCCTGTCTGCATGGGTGTCTCGTGTTTTGTGTTGCTGTGTCCTGATTGCTTAAAACAAGAAGGTTGTGTTAAGGCAGACTCAGTCTGAAGCCAGGTGCCCCTTGCTGCCTTGGGGGTGATTCTGCAGTGGACAGCAGCAAGGCTGGCATCCTCCCTCCAAGCATCTGCATGGGATTATTGCTTGAGTTCTAGTGGAGGGAGTCCTCACTGGCATCTTGTGCTTCAGAACATGCTTCTGTATCTAGGAAGATCAAACTAGCCATCAAATGAGGCCTTGGCCAGCAAAAAAATAAAAGGGGTGTATGTGCACGAATGTGTATATGTCTGTGTGTTCATGTGCCCCCCCCAGGCTTGCACATGGCACCTGTTGATGTGCTTGAGCTGGAAATGTGTCTTCGTCTTTTGCTGTGTACATCAAATAAACCCTTTCCTTATTCATGTGGTTGGGGCTGAACTTGTTGCTGCTCACTGCCGTGATGGTCTAGCTTCATGTTTCCCTGGAGTGGGAGTCCTGATAGGGAGTATTTTTAGGGGTTGAAAAATTGTTCCTCTTCTTGGAAGCAGTGTCTCGGCACAGTTCATGCCTCCTGACAGCTCTGCAGCTTTTCTCTGTGATTTTTCTCCTGCCCTCTGCTCCTCTCCGTGCCCTGCTGAAGCACATTTGAGATTGTACCTCCAGCTAGGACCTACCTCCTGCTGATGTGAGTCAGCTCTACAGACTGCAGGGATTTCCTGTGTTGTTCCAGCTAAGCCTAGTTTTGATTCTGGCAGCAAGGTGGGGAAAAGTGGCTGCTCAGTTCTCGCCATGCCCTTTATCATCTTGCATGGCAACCTTCTTCAGCAGAGAGAGTTATTTTGTGGTTTCTTGTTGCCCCAGTTTA